AATAGGGATAACTTAACTAAAAACGAGCAGGGGTAAAAACAATAAAAAAAATAGTGTCCCACGCAGGGGAAATGGAGATCATCTGGACACCCCTTCTGGATTCTGCTACGTCTCTCAGAGGCGAGGTTTGAAGAACCTCCACAATCCTCCCATAACCATGGGTCGAAGCAGAAGGCGGAGACAACCTGAAACAGAAGAAAGGTTGGCCTGAGCCCCGTTACTTGCCTCAACAAACTAACAGCGTGCAGACAGCTGAACGTGTCTTGCACATCAAATCATAAAAGGACAAAAACACAAATAGTACAAAAAGGATATCAGTGCTCCATCTGCTCATCTGGGTGCAGGTTTTCTCTAGAGGCGTGTGTCTCAGCAGCCCGCAATGAACCACAACCGCTATCGTCGAACTCTGGCTCCATCACCAGAGAGGTCAGCACAGCAACCCAAGGGTCATCTGGGTTTGGTGGATTCGGATCATCTGTACCGTCATCATCGTTGTCTCCATCATCGTCATCATCATCACTCGTGCCATACGACAGTTCCGCTGGTGGGTGATAAGCCTTCAGGTGATTCAGGTGGGCTCTGAACTGAACTTCTGTTTCGAGGTCTTCAATTTCAAAGGCAACTGGACCCAGACGTCTGATGATCCTGGCAGGACCTCTCCACTTTCTGGTGAGAGGGGGTAGACCGCCCATCTTGTGTCGATGTTCAAAGTACCATACCAACGCACCTTCAGTCGGCTGAAATTCCACCTTCTTGCCTTTGTTGTATTGCTTGCCATAAATCTGTCGTGCTTCCTTAGAGGCTTTCACAGCTGCTTGGCGGGCCTCTCGTAAACGTGCTTGAAGATTCACGTTCTCATCAAAAACTGCTTCATTGGTGAGCCCAATCTGGAAGTTAGCATGGCGGCCGGTTAGCATGTAAAGGGGTTGCTCCCCTGTGGTCCGATGGATAGCGAGTTGATCTGTAGCCGCAACTCAGGAACAAACTGGTGCCAGGTTCGTGGGCGATCATTGACAAGAGAAGTAAGGGCAGACTTTACCACACGATTGGTACGCTCAATCAAACCATTTGCTTGAGGATGGTAGCGAATGGTGTAGTGGTTGGTAGCATGCATCAGTTTAGCGAGTTCCTTAAACAGGTTGCTTGTGAATTGGACTCCGTTGTCAGTTTGGATAACCCTAGGAGGGCCGAAGAGGGTTACCCAATGGTCCAGAAAGGCTCGGTGGACAGCGACAGCAGTGACTTTCCGTAGAGGTATGATCTGCAAATACCGTGAATGCTGGTCTATGATGGATAACGCCCAGCGGATGGGAATGCTGGGCCCAAAGTCCATAATGTCCATCGAGACTCGTTCCAATGGAAAGTTAGAAAGGGGTGTCTCAGCCATAGGAACCTTTTGCCTGTCGCCTCTTGATTGTTGGCAAATCTCGCAGCATTCTACATACTGTCGTACATCTTTCAGCATGTTTGGCCAGTAGAACATTGATCTTGCATTTTGAAATGTTCGATGGATGCCTGGATGAGAAGCAAGTGGAGGAAGATGTGATGCTTTTAATGCCGAATTTCGTAGAGTCACTGGAACTACTAACTGGTATACAATCCGATCTGGTAGATTCTTCAACCGGTAGAGGACGCCTTCCTTCAATTCAAAGTCAGAGGAAGAGGAAGCTTCTTAGTTGGCAGGTTTCCCCCTTCCAAATAACTGCAAATCTCTGCAAGCTGAGGATCTGCTTTCTGCTCTTCTGCAAGGCTTTCAGGAGAGAGCTCTGTTATTGTCAGCTTTGCAACTTGTCTGGAGAGCAAGTCTGGCACTTTATTGGTGGGGCCCTCTTTGTACCTGATGCTAAAATCATAGAAAGACAAGTCATGGGCGAATCTTGTCATCCTAGGAGACTTGGTCTTCCTGCTGAACACATACACTAAGGGGCGGTGGTCGGTGTACACGGTGAAGCGCCTTCCATAAAGATAGGAATCGAAGGTCCGGACTCCTTCCACAACAGCTAGAGCTTCTAAGTCGATGGCTGGATAGCGAGTTTCTGCATCACGGAGCTTTCTGCTGAAATAGGCAACTGCATGCGGTGTCTGGTCATCATCTCTCTGCATGAGACAGGCCCCAGTGCAATACTAGAGGCATCAGTGTGAAGTTCGAATCCCTTGGAGAAGTCAGGCTGGCGTAAGACTGGAGCAGATGTCAGCTTCTCTTTCAGAGTTTCAAACGCGGCTTGTTGTTCGGGTCCCCAGGTCCAAGCTTGATCCTTTTTCAGCAACAGATGCAATGGTGATGCTAAGGTTGCATATCCTGGAACATGTTTCCTGAAAAATCCTGTTGCTCCTAGGAAACGACGAACTTCTCTAACTGTACGTGGTGGTGGGTGTTAGAGATAGCCAAAACCTTATCCTTGTTAGGGGAGACTCCATCAGGGGAAATCGTGAAGCCGAGGAAATCTATGGTTGTGGCTGCAAACTGGCACTTGTCCATGTTAAGTTTCAGGCCGGCCAATGACAGCAACTGCAAGGTCTCGTCTAGATCTTGGAGGTGTTGGTCGAAGTTGTGGCTGTAAATGATAACGTCATCTAAGTAGGCTAATGTATGACGTCCCAGTACCGACGATAAGACGACATTCATAGTCCTCTGGAACGTGGTTGGAGCTGTTGATAAGCCAAAAGGAAGACGGCAGAACTGGAAGAGTCGGTAGCCATCTGAAAACCGTCTTTGGTCGATCCTCTTCTTCCAATTCCACACTCCAGTATGCAGCGCGGGCATCTAAGGTGGTAAAGAGTTCTTTGGGCCCAGTTCATCGATGAGTTCGCTGATAAGAGGCAGAGGATACGTATCACCCTTGGTCACTGCGTTCAGGCCACGGTAATCAACACAGAACCTGAGAGCTCCTCCCTTCTTCTTAACCAGCACAACAGGGCTCATCCAGGGGATGTGGATTCCTCAATGACCCCTGAGCGAAGCATAGAGTCACACTGCTCACGAATAACTTGCCGTGTTGAATGGGGTAATCGCCACTGTCGGATGCAAACAGGCTTGGCATCTCCTGTGTCAATCTGATGCTTGATTCCAGGTACAAGACCTACAGCTTCTTCACCACCATCAAAGAGCCCCTTGAAACGACAAAGCAGCTCAGTCAGCTGATGGCGTTGGGGGTCTTCAAGGTGGCCGAGATCTGGCATCTGGTGGTCATCCAGGTTTGGACCGTGTTCCAGGAGTTCGGCAGCTTCACAGGCAGCAATGGCAATAGAGGGGGCAGCTCCATGTGTTCAACCTCCAGCTCATCATCATAGCCGAAGTCTTCGACTCCATATTGTCGGTCAAAGCAATCTTCTTCCCACTCAAAGTCAAAGGTTTCTCCATCCTCAAGGGAATCAGGCTCGACAGGACAGTAGTTGGACCTGGCGACGACTTCCTCAGGCATCTTGGGCAGTTTTGAGATGGGTCATTGGTGTAAATGGCTTCTACCTGCTCTGCCTTCCCAAGGCGTGTTCCATTATGTAAAACCATCGGTTTGGAGTCGCATTCACCACCCACACAGAGCACCGACGATCCTTCACCTTTGTGACAGCATGAGGTAAAAGAAGTCCTTTCGGCATAGCTGGAACTACAAGGATATCGCCATCTGTTGGTCCGTTCCGCGAAACACAGCCTTCAACAAAGCAGCCACTGTGAGCTGCAATACTTGCACGGTGAACAAGATGCACTGCTGCAACGGTCTGAGGATCTTGGGCAGAAACTGGTGCATCTTCACTGGCATCTTCTGTAGGTGACAGGGGTTTGATGCAACAGATCTTGAGAGACTCTGCATCAGTATATACTACTGAGAACTTGTGTCCCTGCAGAGTAATGGTGGCATTCCCAGTTGACGCTTCGGAGGAGAAAGTGAAGTCCAGCCGTCTGAGGAGATCCATCCCAATAAGTATGTCACCTGGGAAGGAGACGTCAACCACACTGGCCTGATGAACAATGACAGAATCCTCAGCCATTTGAAAGTGGAGTGTCACCTCAGTTGATACTTGGAGTGGTTGCCCTGTGACTCCTCGGAGAATCTTGGTAGACGTCCTGTGCTGAAGCTTTTGGTGGGACACGATCATGGCTACAGCACTTGGCTTGATCAAGGTGGCTTCAGATCCAGTGTCAATGAAGCACAGGGTTGTCTTACCATTAATATTGAGTCCCACGAGAGGCCGTCCTGACAACCCGAGGGAACTCAACATGGCTATCTGAGACATTGTGGTTTCTGTCTGCGTACTGGTGGAAGTTACTGCCCCCTTCTGGAACTCCGCCAGCTGGACTGGGAGCTTCTCCTTGCTGGCCACTCGGAAAGGGACATTGTCTAGCCATGTGCCCAGATCTTCGGCAACGGTAGCAGGTGATGTCTCTGGAAGGATGGGGTCGGTTTCGCGCAGAAGTCACATAAGAAGCTGCTCGGCACTCAGAGGTGTTGTGAGTGGCTGTTCCATGGAAGCTACACCAGGGATCACGAGGTGGAATAAGCTGTGGGGTCTTCACTCTGTCACCTGTGCAGCTATAGGGCAAGCATACAAGTCCCGAGCTCTGGGTGGGCGATCAGGATAGTGGCGGTGGTCACGGTCGTCATCCAGGCGAAACTCATTTGGAGACTGATGTCGAGTAGCTGATTCATGCCTGATCCCGTTCCTGGAGTTCCATATCCTCTGGGCTGTTTCCGCAAGCTGCATGGGGGAGCAGTCATCTTTAACTGCCAAGAAATCCCTAAGCCAGGATGGAATGCCGGAGAGGAAAACCCGACGAACAAGCTCGGAGGGATCACCTATTGCTTCTCGATGGTCGCGATACCCCTGGTAGACGTGACCTTCTAACTGGAGATAAAAATCCATGGGAGCCTGCACTGAAGACATCCTGTTTTCATAAAGCACCTTATAAAAATCAGCAGACGTGTAAGTTCCCCTAAACTTGGTGCGTAGAGAGGCCTTAAATGTCTCCCAGTCACGGATGAAGTCAAACAGGGGAGAGTTTATTATAAGCTCTGCAGGGCCTCTACAGTTCGCTCGTGCAGCCTGATGTAAGCCTCGTCAGTAGGTGGTTTCACGAGGTTCTCTATGGAGCGAATCCAGGCCTCCACATCCTGGTTCCTTTTCAGCGGCTGGGATGCTGAGGTGTCTCCTTTAAAATGGGGAACCGACTCCCGAGCTACAACATAGGACACAGCTGGAGTAAGGGCTCGAGATGTAGAGCTGTCATCCAAGGACCCACGTTGTGCTGCAGCTGTTAGTTGCGGTGTTCCCTGCGGCAGTCGAGGATCAGCATACTCTGGGGAGCTGCGTGGTCGTGGCTCTGGAGGAAGCCGAGCAGAAGTCGGCCTCTGGACGTAGTCTTCGGGGTTCTCTGAGAAGCGGAGCTGCGTTTCTGGAGGCTGCAAGTTACGTCTCTCCCTATTACGCTGTTTCTCCCTTTGAAGTTCTTCTTCCTTTTCATGTAACTGCCGCCGTAGTTCCTCTATCTCCTCATCCCTCCGAGTACTAGCAGAAGGTTCCTGAGGTTGAAGAACTTCGACCTCTGCTTCTACCTGTCGGGGTCTGGACACAGCTTCTTCCTGCCGGGCGAGCCTTTCGTTGAACTGCTGTGTCTGAGCCTTGACTTCACTGAGTTCACTTGACAAGGCTTCGATTTTGTCAAGGATTTGGGCCAGCACACTAATCTCTCCCTCCATGGCTCTCACTGCTTCTCGTACCTCTGGATTCGAGCCACCTACGACTATGGGGAGCTGATCGACAGAGATGGATAAGCCTGCTGCCGGAGAACGGTCACGGGAACTAGGGTGGCTGGAAGATCGTAAATTCCTACGAATTCCCGTGTTCTTGCCTTTGGGCATCCTGCACACAATGCACCACAAATACAGTCGAGAGGCACTCCGAGAACTATATCATCCACAGACACAGCAAGCACTGTTCGAATATCACCAGACACCGTTCATAGACTTAACTGTTCACAATCTTGTCACTGTTCACATACGCTTAACACCGTCTGTAAAACTTCAGCACTGTTCGTTCACTGCTCGGTACTGTTCTTAGGCGTTCAGCAATATCTGGCTGTATTGCACCGATTCAAAGTCCACTGCACTGCTCAACCTCGTCTCACTGTTCATAGCTTGTACTGTTCACAAACCCGTTACTGCACTTTTCCAATGTCACTACACACTTTAACACGTTACTGCACCCTTCATCAAAATCACTGCACTGTTTCAGTCACTATATTACAAAAATCACTGTAACACACCGTAACACACAAGTCACTGTATGATCCATGGAGCTGCCAAAGGATAATTATACACGTAAAAGAGAAACATACAGTGTCCCTAAAACTGACGAGAGCCACAAAGTAAGCCTAGCTGGGCGAGCGGGCATTAAGACACATAAATCTAACTCTGCAAGAGAAGAGAATTATGCTGCAAGAAAAAAAACCGCTCTTGAAAACTACACAATTAAAATACCACTGAAAGAGAAAACAAAAGACACATAATATGGCGAAGTGGCTCTCCCAAAACTCCCGTAGGAGGTACAATGAACATGCATAAAATATCCTAACAGGAAAGAACTGATTGTGCCGGACGTTCTCAGCCTACAAGGAACTCCGTAATATTCTCCTGGTATAGCTCATAAAAGGTACATTTCACCGCTAGCCACCAAATATGTAAGTATCCAAGGTATCTATGATGAGGAGCCCGACTTAAACCCCAGCCTCGTGAAGCGAGCTGAAGCCTCCCGTGAAGCAGGAACGGCTTAGGGACGCAAATGGGGGTCCCGTTCACTCCCCTGAACAAGTGAAAACAGATCCTGGGCCTGTGAAATGGTAGCGGGCACTGACCCAGGATCATACGCAGGTGTAACGTGTACCCAGAGCGGAGAAATATTACTAAAAGTCCTTGTGACTCAGCCTATTATTTAAAATATGCAAAAGAAATAAAATATTGAAACTAAAACTGCTTAAGGCTTAAAAAGGTAAAACAAGAACTCACACACTAAAATTACGTTACTTTACTTAAAAACACCAAGATAAGAAAAGAAAACTTACGTTAACTTACTAAAATAGGACTAAAATATCAATACAATACTTAAAAAGGAACTGACGTTAAAAGCAAAACGAGAAAAGACGAATCCAGAAGGGATTCGTGTAAAAATACGTAAAAAAACACTTGAAAACAATAAAACACATAAAAACACATAAATAAATAAGACAACGTCCAGCAAATACCCTAGGCAAGTAACGGGAAGTATGCTCAGTACAACCTTTGTTCTGCTAACGTCTCAGGCTGAAGTAAATCCAGAAAGGGGTGACACAAACACAGGTTCAGATAGATCTCTCTTTATTGTTATGGCGGATCCGTATTTATGCGGACGTCTTGCTGACGTCACTGCCTTCATTTTCAATAACTTCTAAATAAAACATAATTAAAATGTGAAAAATTTAAAGTATATATAAAACAACCAGGGATGATAAAAAGATAAAAAGATTAAGACAAATAATTAAAACCATTGAAAAATAAAGCATCTTAAAAAGTACAAACGTCATTGACATCCCTAAAAAGCTAAAAGGACGATTTGAAAAACGTAAAACAAGAATAAAATCAATTACAGAGTAAAATCATAAAACCAAAATACAAATACATATAATAAAAAGACAAGTTTACAAAATAAAAAGGACAAACCCCGTCATGCTCATCTATAAAAGGAACAAATCGATAAAATAAGAATACGGAAAAATAAATCTTAATCCGAAAATGAACAATTAAAATGACGGTCAAATTGATTAAAAAGCAATAAATAAAATATTAAGGCAGTAAACTTTAAAACTTAAACAATAAAAGACATCAGTCATTACTTAAAAGAACGAAACAAACTAAGAAAACGTGATGAACACAACTTAGAAAACGGAGCTAAAAATAGGGATAACTTAACTAAAAACGAGCAGGGGTAAAAACAATAAAAAAAATAGTGTCCCACGCAGGGGAAATGGAGATCATCTGGACACCCCTTCTGGATTCTGCTACGTCTCTCAGAGGCGAGGTTTGAAGAACCTATATATATATATATATATATATATATATATATATATATATATATATATATATATATATATATATATATATATATATATATATATATATATATATATATATATATATATATATATATATATATATATATATATATATATATATATATATATATATATATATATATATATATATATATATATATATATATAATATATATATATATATATTATATATATATATATATATATATAATATATATATATATATATATATACATGACAAATAAATACAGAAAAGGAGAACCACAACCCCGGCGAACATTCGCAAGCACATTACAACAGCGCCCAAACACACACCCACAGTGGCAAGGGAAGTGCAACCTCACCCCGCCTTAACCTCCCCCGCCAGAACCACGTAGCCTCCTCCTCCCCTTCGTCAGATCCAAACTCCGTAATCAGCAAGCAAGCAATAGCGTTTCCAGGGAGATATAAATCTGCCTCGCCGCCCCTGCCGCCCGTCCCTCATCTATCACAACAGCTGTCGGAGAGAGAGAGAGAGAAGCTGCATCTCTGACGCTCTCCTCTCCCGACTCCCGTGTGTTAGGCCGCGTTCAAGGGAAGTTCATGCGTTATCATTTTATGTCATTCATTAGTTGATGTAATGGGTCGGCAGCGCGGGTCGTATCAATCATCGGGGTGGGCGGGGTGGGCGGGGTGGGCGGGGTGGGCGGGGAGGAGGGAGGGGGGATACAAGTAGGGGTCGTATTTTGAAGTGTATCGCTTTATTTTCCATAGCATTATCAATATGATTATCATGTTACAATCTGTTATAATTGCTGCTATTATGATTATTATGATTATCATAATTATTATTATTACTATCATAATTGTGATTGTTATCATTGTTGTCATTATTGTTATGATGATTACATCAGTGATATTATTATCATTATTATCATCGTTGTTTTTTTCTGTTAATATCATTACAACTTATTATTATCATCATTATTATTATTGTTGTTATTGTTATCATAATTGTTATCATCATTATTTCCATAATCGTTATTATCATTGTTATTGTCGTTGATATTATCATGATTATTATCATGATTATTATCATTATTATTATCCTCGTTATTATCATTATTATAATTTCCTGTTATTACCATTATACTCTTATTACTACATTATTTTCTTATTATCATTATTATTGTTATCATTATCATAATCATTATTATCATTACTAATATTTTTATCATTATCATCATTATTATTGTTTTACTATTATCATTACCACCATTATCATTATTATTCATATCATTATCACCTTTACTATTGCTATCATCATTACCTTTTTTTTATCATTGTTATCATTATTATTATTATTATCATTATATCATTATCATCATTTTCATAATTATTGCTATCGTGATTATGATAATGATAATGACAATTATTATTAGTAGTACCGTTATCATTATCATTAATACTATTACCATCATGACTATTATCATCTTCATCATTAAAATCATCATCAATATCATCATCACTATTATTATTATTAACATTATTATTATCATTATTTTCACTGTTTATTTTCTTCTTTACTATTATCATTAAAATCATCATCAATATTTTATCATCATCACTATTATTATTATCATCAACATTAGTATTATTATCATTACTGTCACTGTTCTCATTATCATCTTTACTATCAGCATTATTATAATTACAAACACTATTGTTATTACTATTACTATCTTAATCATTATCAAAATAATTATCATTACTATTATAATTATTGATGCCTCTTATCATGAATGTAAGTAAGATTTCTATTATTATTATTACCTCCGCCAAGGGGCTTGTGTTCTTGGTCGCGTTGGTTAGTTAGTTAGTTTGTTGGTTGGTTATTAGGATAACTCCAGATGTTACGAACAGATTTTTATGAAAAATGTACACTTATCTTTTGGTGATAATTCCCTTATCTTTTGATGGCGATCCAGGATTTTTTTTTCAATGATTGCATCATTACCCCTATTGCCTTGGCCACGTCAAGGAGGTTTCCTGTGTAGTTAAGAAAGGTGACTTTAATGTAATTCTTCTTATTGCCTTGGCGGAGGTATGCACCCTCTGAGTACTTCTAGTTATTATAATTATGAAAACAGTAATAATGCTAATGATGGTAATAACAATAATAATAACAATAACGATAATGATGAGGATTATCATTACTGATAGCATTATCATTATTATCATTATCATTATTATTATTATTTTCAATGCTATGATGATTATTATTATCATTGTTGTCATCTTTATAGATATTACTATTATCCTTACCACCACCGTCATCATTATCATTATTAACATTATCATTACTACTATTGTCATCATTATAATGATCATCATTAGTATCATTGTTATTATTATTATCATTTCTATCATTATCATTATTACTATTATCATTATTATTATTATTATTATCATTATTTTTTTCATTATTATTGTTATCATCATTATCATCATTATTGTTATTATTACTATTATTATCATTGTTATTACTACTACTACTACTATTATCATCATCAGTATTATTGGTATCATTATTATAGTAATTGATATTATCATCATTATTATCAATATCATTGTCATAATAATGATTATTAATATCATTATCATTGTCATTATCATTTTAATTATTGTTTTAATTCTTATTGTTTTTATCATTATCATCTTTTTGTTACTACAATTTTTTTATTATTATAACTCGTTTTTATTAAATCATGATTATTCCTATTATTGGTGTCATCA